CGCCGCCGCCGCCGCGGTAACCACTACAGGTCCGCCATCTTGTAACCCGATTCTCTCAGCCTTTCTCTTCCTCCTCCAGCGGTCCCGTACGGGCTGTACTAGCAGGGGCTACGGCATCCGACAAGCCTGAGGGGCAGAACTTCCGGTCCTGCACGCGCTAGCGGAGCCAGTAATAGCGAACGGGACTCTCGCGAGGCGAGATTTGGGACCGAGGTGGGAGGGCCCAGGCGGGACTTCCTCCCCGCGGAGCCGGTCTGCAGGCGTTGATCTCGGCCGTGCGCGAGCTTCTCGCGACATCTCGTCCCTACCGGTGCCGTACCGCTGCGCTGGCTGGAAGACCATGGGAACCCTTGGCCATTGGCTGGGGCGGCTATGCCCGCACCTTGCAATTCCACTCCTCGGCTAGATACTGACCATATTTGCGGGGCATGCAGTCTTGGACGAGACTAATTGGGAGCAAAAAACATGGAAATTTGCTTGATGAAAATTAAGCAAATGAAAGCGCATCGTTTGGGATGAGTAAAAACAAACACACGTAAAGCTTTCTGTGAATACAAAATAACTTTGAACTCTTTAAGCCGAACCGAGAGCCAGTAAAGTTCGTTATGGAATCTTATGATTGAGCGTCCGCTTAGAAACTCCTGGGATCCCCACGCGATTTTAATATCTTCCTAAAATTTGTTGACAGTGTCTTACTTCCCGCCAAAGCGTTTCACGGAGGGGCTTTCAGGTCTGGCCATTGGAAAGCCTATTGTCCGTTTCAGGAGAATGCAGTGCTAGTCCCGGGTTTGTGCCCGTGGAAAATACGTCGAGGTGAACCTGGGGAAGTGGCCGTGGCTTTGAATGTGTATGAGTTTCTCTTGTGGCGTTTGTTGTGCTATCTATGGACAAGTGGGTCCCTGACTGAGCGAAGGCATTCCCTTAAGCACCAGTCACACGGCGCTCGGTGGATACAAGTTGCTCTGCGCGCAGTGATGGATGGTATGGTTGTCATTGCCATGTTGATTCTTAGCAGGATTCTTTTACTCGTTCATTAATGTAGTCCTTCAGCTGGTTCAGTTGCCTGAACCTGTTAGCCTGAAAGGTGAAGCCAGGGGAAGCACAAGTTGATCTTGCAGTGCCTCTTGGGAGTTGTAGTCACGGCTTTCAACACGTGCTTATGTTTGGACCAGACTACTTCTGTGTGAGCACCGTTCAGCAGTGACCTTAGATTTGGGTGTAGTGCTTTACACAAACAAGCACCCGGCCGACCCTACCTACCCACTGCCATCAATCCATTCTGACTCAAAGCTCCGGGGTCAGAGGACCTTGGAGCTCAAAACTCTTGTCACCTGCAGTAGAAGGAAGTATGACAGAAGCAGACATGGGATTTAAGATTGGCAGAGCTCTAAAGTCATCTGAATCTTCAGCCTGCAGAGGTTTGTCACACATGGATTTTGGATCTGTCAACATGTCTGAACTCTTAAGAGCTTGCAGAAATGTCTGCTCCCACACTTGCCTTTTTTGTATATGGCGATCCTGTTTCTCTCCATGTAATCTATATAGTAAATGACAGTGGGTTAAACATTGGGCTGCTAATTGCAAGGCCAGCAGCTAGAATCTCCCAGTTACTCCATGGAGGCATTTTGTTCCTGTAAAGATTTATACCCTGGGAAAGCCAACCCACAAGGGTGGTTCTATTCCATAGCCAAGCATTGGAATTGTCTAGATGGTAAAGGGACTTTTTGACTCATCCTTTCATTCAACTGCTATATTTAAAATTTTTTCCATAAATATTGGTTTATATATTTTGTTTTGTAAACAATCTCATCTAATTTATGAATTATTGGGGAGCATATTAGATTTCATAACCACAGTACAGTATAAAAATGAGCCAATTATTTAATTTTGGTTTTGATTAAATACTGAGTTTTCTTCAGTGCTTTTTAACACACCCAGAAAGAACCAGTTTGAAAGCCTGAAAGGTGTGTGCCAGGTTTGTATCCTTTCACAATTCTTGTTTGCTGGGCAAATAATCTGAGAAATTGGATTGTATGAAGAACGAAGAATCAGGGTTGGAGGGTTATTCGCCACTTTGGATGTACAGATGTCACAATCTTACTGCAGCAGGGCAGACTCGAAGGACTTGCTGATGAAGATCAGAGTGCAGGCTCAGGATACATCACAACTAACGTTAGCGACATTACAACCCTCACGACCGGACCAACAGGCACCTTGATAAACAGCAAAGATGGAAGTCGTCACAGACTTCATCTTCCTTGGATCCACAACCCACGCTCCTGGAAACAGCCGTCAAAAAAATCAGACACCTTTTGTATTGGAAACATGCCGAATGAGACCGCTTTAAAGTCTAAAGACCAAAGATGTCACTTTGAGGACTTAGGTCTTTTTAACTTAGGCGATGGTAGTTTTCAAATAACTCATACATAAGAAAGCTGGACAATAAAAGACACCTTTGAATTACGGTGTTGGTTAAGAATATTGAAGGGACCCTGAGTGCGAGAAAAGCAAACAAATCTCTGTGGGAAGAAGTAGCCAGCTTGCTCCTTGGAAGCAAGGATGGTGAGATTTTGCTCCCCTCCTTTGGGCATCTAGCAAGAGAGACCTGGCCCGGGGGAAAGGACATCATGCCCGGCAGAGGGTCAGTGAACAAAGGAAGACCGTCAACTCGATGGACTGGCAGTAGCTGCAAAATGCCCTGAACGATAACAATTGTGAGGGTGGCCCGGGATTGAGCAGCATTTCATTCTGTTGGGCATAGGGCTGCTGCCAATTGGAACCAACTTGAAAGCAAGAAACACCAGGAGAAATGCCTTAGTTTCAGATGATGTGAAATTCCTGGTTCTTTATGCAGTAGGGAGTGTGACTTGGTTTCTGTGATAACTGACACATGTGGAAGTGCACTCAGCAGTGGTGGTAACCCGATGTGTAACTAAAACTGGTTTTCCCATTCTCATAGCCTACCATCCTGGTTTCAACTCAGGAGCCTGGGATTTAACAGAAGAGCCTGCTAACTTCCCGGTGATGCCAGTGTATTTTCTGTCCTGGAAAATAACTAAGCATCATGTTGCCTGAATAAATGTTTTGAAAATCTTATCTTGGACTGGCCACCTCCCACTGGGTTACATTTGAAAATAAAAAGTTGTTCCCTAAGTCTGGTGAAGAACACATACAATGTAATAGAGCAAAGGACTGAAGGAGTTTTACACACTGGTACTGCTGTTCTATATATGAAACACACACCACCAAGTGAAAATGAAGTTTTCAGTCCCTCTCTCTGGATACTTTCCCAGTTTTTGTGTGTTTCCTCCCTCAGCTTGGCTCAAATCTCTGCCCTAAGAGCTATCTGTGCAGAGAGGACGATTATTTTTATTTTATCAACTTTTTAATCTAAAAGAGGAACTCTTCTTCGTTACTTTGCCTCCTTAGCTAGCTTCCTGATCTGTGTATACGTGTTTACCATCAGCTCCTCTCCACCAGAATGTGAACACTGGAACGTAGGTTACGGATAGATTCTCTGTCTACAGAGTAGTGCCTTGCACATGATAAATACTGAATAGCTGTCATTGGCTAAACTGAACTAATAAAGATACTGATATTCATACTTAGATCCGGAAACATGATACTCTAGAAATAAGGAAGTGACTGCATAAAAGGCAAAATAATGATTTATGAGGCAGTTTGTCGATAACAAAGCACAGGACGGAGAAAAGTTTTGTAAGTTCCCACACTGAATTAACCACCATAGATAGGTGTTTAATTGGAGTTACCATTTTTAAAATTTGAGCTTTTAACATAGACCGGCATTCACAGAAAGTCTTCATTGGAAAGCAGAAAGGAAGACAAAATCGGGAAAGTTCAGACTAAGTGTTGGAGCTGAGTTTCAGAGGACTGGGGCAAGAGGAGCCCCTAGGTGACAGAAAAGGCTCACAGGCTCAGCGGCTAATCTCAGAAGGTTCGAGGCTTGAGTTTAATGAGAAGGAGCCTGAAAGGAAGACTTGGTGATGTAATCAGCTATGGAGCAAAATTCTGTTCTGACACGTGGGGTGCACAAGTCAGAGCTGACTCAACAGTAAATGGTGTTTGTTGGCTTGGTGGCCAATGAACTGTACTTTCCCTGGCAGCTCTACCAAAGTCCCTGTGTGGCCCCAATGATTAAGTGTTGGATTATTAATCAAAGCGTGGTGGTTCAGAGCTACCCAGAGACATCGTGGCTGTCAGCCCTGGTGATCTGCTTTGGAAAGGGCAGCGCCTTGAACACCGGAGAGCAATCCTCACACTGCACACTCCGGCGGTCGCGGGTCTCCACAGGCTGCGTCAGCACTGGGTTCATGTGCCTGTGCAGAGTAAGTAGCTGTGAGTCTCTTTGAAAAAGCTGGGAGATGTATAAAGCCCACTATTTCAGTGAAACTACCTTTAAAGATATCTTGAAAAGAAAGCCAAAGTGAGGATAGAGATTTTTTCTTTCAGTGACTATTATTAAACAGAACAAGAATCTTTCACTTTCAAATTAGATGCAATTAAATATAAGTACCTTCTATATTTCAGAGTGTGCCGGTTGCCTAATATGCTACTTAACTCTTAAGAGATAATCAATCAATTCATGTTGTTATTAAATGCAGGTGGGGGGGGAGTAACCTTCAAAAGGTTCATGGAAAATAGGAGAAAGGAATTTTTCCATGTACTCTTTGAAGCTTTCTTGGACATATATTTTTAAATCTTTGGTCAGATTCCTGGTGATCTAGTGGGTTTCACATGGGGCTGCTAGTTCAAGGTCAACAGTTCAAGCAGCTGCTCTGTGGGAGCAAGATGAGGCTTTCGACTTCCTTCAAGGCAGACCGTCTCAGAAATGCACAGGAGCCGTTCCACCTGTCCTGTAGGGACAGTACAGGCTGCAATTTAATTCATGGCAGTGGGTTTGACTTTGGCTTGCCCAGATCAATAGTTACCATCATGAAGTCGTAAACTCTGAGTCTTGAATGTACAAATATAAGATATGTCAGCAGGTTGCACATTTTTAAATTATAGCTTTTAGGTGCCATTTACTTTTCTGAACTTGATATATTTTAAATGATGGGAATAAGCATCGTACAGAGATTACTACTAATTACATCAGCAAGTTTTGTATGTGACTATTTTAAAAGATCTATTAACTGAAAAATCATACTTCCTCTCTCCTTTTGTAATATTTATACTCAGAAAATGACCCAGTTTTCATCTGATGAATAAATTATTTCTTCACATATTCAGGCAAATTAAAAAAAATGTTTGCTACATCATTTTTACATAGGTTCTATTTATAATATTCACTCCACTACGTTGATGCCTTTGTGATGAGTCTGAAAGGGTTCATATTATTAAAATGAAGTCAAAATATCTCCCTCAATTCCTAATTATATATACTTCTTGAGAAATAAGTACTAACTTTGAAAGCGGCAAGTTCCAGTGTTTAAGATATTTGTACATAAGGAAAGCAGGTGGGCAGAGAAGTGAGCTATTAGATGCCAACAGGAAGCTGCCACTACTCCTGCACTGAGAAAGATCCTCTACAGTAGCAAATGCGATCTATTGTTTTAAGTTTATCAGGTAGCTGCTTAGTACTAAGGGGTCTTCTTTCTTAAGATGTATATAAATGCTTGACTTTTAATAATAAATATTTATTGATTTACCATATATCTGAAGATACTTGAGCTTGAAGTAAGCAAAATGGCACACATAAATGAGTTTTTTAGTACAAAGGGATTGGAGTACATTTATACTATATATAGTATATACAGGATACTATATATAGTATGTATCAGTATTATATCCATCCACATTAGCAGATACTCCTGAACGTTCGCTGTCTGGGATTCCACCCCAGGCCTCTCCGCAGGGCTCACGGAGAGGAGTTGGAGGACGACTGGGAGACGGGCTCTTCCATGACAACACTGCTTCTGTCGCTCAGAGTCCTGACGACAGACGTAGCTGGAGACTGGAGCACTTTACGAGAAAGCCTCATTCTTCCGTCAGCCGGGTCACGGCCGAAGTATTTCACCTGTGCGATAGAACAGAGTTACTTGTACAGTTACAGCACAGGGGTTAACCTCTAAATCGAAAGGTGTTTACATGGTTCGCACATGGCAATCTGCAAGACAAAGCTGCGGCTCTTTAACAGTCTCCGAATTCTTAGCAAGCAGTTCTACTGCACCCACAAGTTCCATGTGTCAGAACTGACTTGACACTTGGTGTCTTGCTATATAAGACAATGGTTTAGGTTTCTACTTGGTCACGGAAAATGTAGCTCCACGGAATTATATGCTTAATAACTATAATTTGGTCAAGTTAATAATTATGAAAAAAAAGACCCAACAAAAACAGCCTGAGGCCCTTTTCAGTCGCCCCATTCGAATCTTGTGTGGACTCATCTTCACCACCCTGGATGCTCCTCAGGCCTCGTGGCATACACAACCACCAACTCGAGACAGATCCAGGGTGATCTCAATGTGACCAGCAAACCCGCAGAGTTCTTAGGAGCAAATACAGGGTGAGGCCGTGGGGCCTAGTGTCCTTGTACTGGGAAAACAAAGCCATGGTGAGTGGTCTCAGACTAAGACTGCCTATCTAACTGTGCTTCAGCGACAACAGGATTGTGCTGTAGCTCACTCGGCACTTCAATAACGCCTCAAAGCACCCTCATACCAGAATTCATTTAGCTTGACGGTGAAGAATGAGAGGAAAAATGCAGGTTTTATGTTTCTTCTGATACTGAAAACAAACTAATCTAACTAAAACAACCTTCCCCAGAGATGTTTTACTTCCATCATTCCTTGAAGGCTACTTGAGTAACAGGACTGCAGACTGGAAATGAACTCGAGGTCCTAATTACTCAGGTCCTGGGGATTAGGTATATCGGGAACAGAATGTGATGCAGCAACAAAACAAAACGATAAAACAAAACCCAGACTGGCAATGCCTTCTTTCATCCACGCATGAGAAAAAGATCAATTGCTACCAGAATTCTAGACCTGAGCAACATGGCTTTTATCAAGCTCAAAAACTTTGAGCGTCAAGTCGTGGAAAAGCAGTCAAGGCTCACCTCCTCAAATACGACACGCAAGGTCTTCAACAAAGTTGGAAAAGAAGTTGAGGTTAAAAAACAAAACAACAGATATGGTCCTGTTTCAGGCTTGTCCTCATGCATGATCACTGAACTCTCGGGTGCCATAGCCAAGTGTACGGAAGAAACCAGATAGCCTCCGGCGATCAGAAAGAATAGCGTCTTGCCTTAAAACAAGCAGCATCTAATGAGGAGTCAACTAAGTCCCCATGAAGAAGCACATCAGCCTGGGTGATCCAAGGACTGTAAAGAATAAAATCCAAATCGGAAGGAAGGAATCGTATCAGAGCTTAAATTCCGAACAACCAATTTGCAGGAGGCTGTGGATGACAGTGGAAACCCAAATTGAAAGGGAGCCCACCCGGATTAAACCTCCGATGAACCCCCGACCATAGGCTAGGGATGTGAATGGCTTGCTACCAGAAAGCATTGTAAAATCGATTATAGCAGATGTACCTTATCATTTGATCTCCCTACCGGCCCATTTTAAAGTTGATTCAGTTTTTAATATTTTCGCTTTGTCTAGTCATTGTTTTTTTCTTTTCTTCCTGTGTATGTTTTATATGCTTATTTGTATATGAAAAACAGGACTGGTACATCTACAGAGACAGTAACTAGATTGATAATTGCCTAGGGGTGTGGCAAAGAAGGATGGGGGGTAATGAGGCACTGACAACAAGTAGTACGAGAAGAAAAGGTTTTGAAATTGATTGCACAAATCTTATTATGATTGAATGATCAAATTGTGTGATATGTGAAGTACATAAAAACAAAACTTTTAAAAAACAAACAACTGAATCACCATTCTTATGTATTAGCTCCAATCATCATCTCTATGTAACCAGCACTGGCCTGTATATATTACTGATTTATTTTAATAGTTCTATTGGCATATCATTCACATATCACACAACTTAATAGTTCAATTGTATTAAAAAGAGTTGCATAGTCACCACCAAAATCAATTTCACATTTTCTTCTTTCTTGTTGTGGTAGTTACGTAATTTCCTGTCAACTTGAAGTGTAGGGGTGGAGTTTCGCCTGTCAAACAGGTGGCCTGCTGATGACCTCATTCGGCAGTACCACTGAGGTAAACGGCTCTCTGGAGGGCGGCCACTCTGTCTGCCTTCATCTGCATGCCTGCAGGCACACTGGGACCTGCGCAAGCCCTGCGATGCGTCCAGCGCCATTGGAGCCAGCAGACGGCACCTACCGGCCTGCATTCTGCACCGTTGCATGTGGCTGCGTGCGTCTGAAGAGGGCCTTCCGGGATCGTATGGGACTGATGGATTTGACCTGGACCGGCTGGGCTGCTTACCTGATAGATAGTTACTTCTTGATAGAAAGCATTCTCTCCACGTGTATGAGTGTCTCTGGGTTTGTTTCTCTCACCAACCTGGCCTGACACACTCGGACTCGTTGCTGTTAGCTCCATTTCCCCTCAACCTCTCCTCCCATGCTCCTGGGGATTAGTCATCCCGTTACTGTCTCCTTGTTTTACCTAACCTGGCTCTTCTATCTAGAAACTCATACGCAACAAAAACAAAAAACCCAACAATGATAAAACAGAAAAACCTCAACCAAAGAGAAAGCAGAAAATAGTCAAAACACATGCGTATTTTTAAGAGTTCTAAAGTTGATTACTGTTCTAACTAACCAGCAAGCTCCCTGAGGAAAAATAACTGTCTTAACTCACAAATGAGTCTGCATAAGCCATCTCAGGGCGAAACAAACACGCAAACAAACAAATGTCTCACATTCACTGCCACGGAGGCAATCCTCCTCACGGGCTTGCAGGGCAGAGGCAATGTCCACGGTGCCCGGTGGTCCGCCCTGCTGACCTTGTCGCCCGCTCGAAGGCTAGCAGAAGCACCACATAGGCTTATACACCAACAATGGTCATTCTGTTCTTTCAGTTTTACCTGACAACTCTCAGGTGGAAGGGGGAGGAGCACAGGTACCTGAATCTCTTGGCCAACTTCTAGTCCGAGAGCAGTGGGGTGTCGAATCTGAAAGAGAATGTGTCCTCCATTAGGAATGGTGAATACATAGCAAATAGCCATGCCAGTACACTTCCATGACAGCTGTGGTTTTTCTGGTGAGGAGATCTGTTCATTGTAAAGATTTAAAACAACACAGAAGTATTTAGAAGTAAATGTAACTTATACCCCCTAAGTTTTTAGAAAACTGCTCACCACCCCTCCCAGAGTATAGTGCGTGTATTCATTTAAGAACGCAGACCTCATTGTGCCTGCTCTTTTGTAATGTGCCGATTTGTCACTCACGATTCTGTTTTAGAGGCACCCTGGGGGCACTAGGGCATAAAGGTTGAACAATTAACAGCAAGGTTGGAGGTTCAAACCTACCAGCTATTCTGGGGGAACGCTGAGGTGCTCTGTTCCCTTAAAGATGCACAGCTTCAGAAACCAGATAGAAAGAAGCTGCGCCAGTACTGTTGGGCAAATGGTGGACTGCTAACAGCCAGGCTGAAGGTTCAAACCCCTAAGCCCCTCCTTGAGAGAAAGGTGAGGTTATCAGCTTCCATAGAGCCTTGGAAACCCAGGAGGGCGGCAGGGCTTCCAGAAGTCAGCGTTGCCCAAGTGCAGTGGGTTTGGTTTTATGGTTTATTAAATTGCAGTCATGTTTTGATCTAAAATAATGAAGCATTATAGGTGGATATTCAAATTGCATAATTTGTTTAGCCAGCACCCCAAAGGTGGTCATTTCATTAGTGCTACAAACATTCATGAGTGGTGAGTCTGCAGGAAACTCTAGGGCTGCTCACTACATTATTACCCCAGGGTTGTGGTAGGGGTACTGGTCTTCCCAAGAAAAAGCTGAGAAAAATGAATTGTAATGATCTTTTATCCATTCTAATTCATTCTAATCTAATAATTCTGATGCATTCTAATTCTTCTTTTACAGCACAGCCCGCCGGATGGCATTTCTAGGTCCAAATATAATCATAAATGTCCTACAAAAACTTTATCCTAACTTATACTCCCATCCACTGTGATGAGAATATCTAATGCCACTCCCACCCCATTTCTTAACCACACTGGGAATTTTTGAGGACCTGAAAGTTCAGGGGGGAAAAAATATTTTGTTTTTATAAAAACGGCTGGTGATAGTACTCGTTTCTTGGTTGGCTTTTTTAAAAAAAGGGCTTGTGAGCTCACGGTCTTTGGGTCACCCTTCTTCTGACTGCTTTATAGGAGGGTACGCAAAACAGCACGGCTACCAGGGTGCAGCTTCATCCCAAACAAACCACCTCGAAACTGGTCTCCGAGCAGTGCATGGGGCACTGATTCTCTCAGAAAAACCCTTGTCGCAGGCTGCCTAGGGTGCCCTCCAAAACAGGTCCAACCAAGAATGGCTTCCAAGGAGCTTGGTACTGGTGACTGTTCTTTTGGATCTCAAAGGGATTAACCAGGACAGAGTTTTCTCAAAAGGCAGAGCAAGATCCCGGGGCTCGTGGTGAAGGAGTCTGTAGAGACTGAAAGCCACCTCGGGGAGACGGGCCGGGAGCCTCGCACCAAGGACTCCTTCTTCTGTGAAGGTAGCCGGCTGGGGCTCTCCTTGGGAAACCTTACCCCACCACCTGATCTTGCCTGGACGATGCCAAAAGTGTCATTTGGACATAGTATAAATGTGAGGCAGGCTTAAAGAGTGGAAACACCCACCCTACGAAGCATACACAGCTGGATGGAGGATATGTCAGAAAACCATAGCTACACACTGACATTTTTGTTTCATAAAGGTTTCTGTGATTTTGCAGCAATACTTTATAACTCACCCTAGCTCATGTAATAAAATCAAGTGTATCAATATGATTAATTGAATAATCATTTCTTAAAATTCAACTTACTGCATGTATTAAGTCTCCATGTATGTAACCAGTTCCGTTTCTAGTTTCCTTCCTGTCCTATGTTGCATGCACTGCTTTCTTCCTGGGCCAGTAAGTACTACACTGTTCTATTCTGTAAGGCTTTATACTACATTCTAAGAGATGGTTGTAGCCTCCGTCCCATAGAATTTTCTTACATAGTCTTATGTGCTTCGTCTTTGAAATGTATAAACTACAACAAAGAGTAAAGACACTTCAAGCATTCTGAGAATGATCTGGTGATGACTGAAGGAAATTGGTAAAGGGCTACAGCTGGACACTTTAGCAACTGCTAGGTGTCGTTCCCACGGAAAGCACTTTTTGTTTCTATTTAGTCCACAACTGCCGTGGTAAAAACTAATCGCTTCTGCTGGCAGCATCCCTGCCCCTTGTGACTTTCTGTGTCCGGCTAATCTTAGATAAAGTGTGGAATTCCCACTACCCTAGGTAATGTCAGTATGGTAACCTTAAAGCAGTTACAAAAATAATAAAATGTGTCTTTTTTCTTTCTTTTGCTTCCTTTCCTCCCTTCCCCTCAAGCGGTTTTTTACCTTTCGCTGATCAAGTTGTGTATTATGAAGTAAAACAGCAGTCATATTTGGATACAGTTTTACCATCACTCCAGAATCTCTACAAAGGGGAGATAAGAAGCCCAGTTAAAACATTAAGCATCTGCACATGCACTGAAAATCAAATACGTTTTCTGAGAAGAAAAAAGAAAAAAAACCTTATCAGTATGTTTTTAACTATAAACTCTATGATCTACCTCCACTACGTCAATACTTGTGGAGCAAAGAACAAAACAAGGCAAGTAAAAAGGCTTTCAGGATAACATTCCTCCACTGTGATCTCATCACTGTATTTCCCCAAGCGGTGGTGATCTTCTTGTTTTAACGTAGTGTCGCATTACTCATTGTAACCCGGGACGTGGTTTTCACCAACACCTCCTCCCCTCCCTGCCCCCACAGGTGGCCTCGCAGGGAGCCCTTGGCACAGCTGCAGGCTGTGACAATCCTGCGGTGCTGGGCCAGATCACAGCAGCCATTTCCTCAACGGGGCACGTTCACGGCATGTCTGTGCCACGTGTTAGTAGTCTCAGCAGATTTCCCACTTTTCATAATGCTGAATTCATTCAAATGGCCCTTCCAGCCCTGGTGTGATAGAGTCTCGTCCGGGACTTCATGTGCCTGTGGCTACAGTCCCACTGTGGAGGCTCTCTGCTAAAGCTCAGGGAGAGCGTGAGACTGGCTTGGACCCTGGAGGAGGGTGTGACTCGGGCACTGTTGAACGGTTACCTTGGTTACTGTCACCTGTCATGGACCTAAGGAATGATATGCCACTGGTGGGAAACCTGTTTCTGGGGAGACCTGGGAAAGCTGGCCGAGGAACATTAGCAGGAGGCAGTACGCATACAAATCAGACACAGCCAGGGTGGAGAAAAGGTGATTATATTTGGGCATTGTTAAAAGGTGAAGGGTCATATGTTAACTTGATTGCACGGTTGATACCGAAGGACCGTTCTGTGTATGGGTCTGGTAAGCAGGTGGGGGAAGGCACTGAGAGGGTTCACCTGTGAGTCATTGTGAACAGAATTCCTTGCAATGCCACCCTGCTGTGTATAAAAAGAGCCCCCTGAGAAGCAGGGGGTGAGCTCGTTACTGAAAGAGCCAGGAGTGGAGCAGTCTTCTAGCCCCAGCATCTGCCTTACCCCTGCCTGACCAACAAAATCCATTATTATTCCCAATTACCTGATTTCAGTTATTGTGGCCGTATACACTGCTCCAAATTCTAACTGCTGCTCCTGCTGTAAGTGGAAAATATACCGTAAGATTCACAAAGCAAAGAGCTGCAAAGGAAAGCAGGGCCCTGAGCTCGGTACTTACGTCATCCTTGCAGAGTTCGCTGATGTAGTCTCTTGCTTCATGCATGGCACTAGGTGTTGGTGCAAATACAGAAAACGTTTCTTCTTCCACCTGACTAATAGTTACTCCTTGAACAAACATAAGTGCAGTACTTTGAAGTTAAATGACCATTCCTTTGGAGATTAATCTGAAGCGCGGAGGTGGGTGGGGGGCAGACCTGAAAGCAGCAGGCAGGTGTGCTGCGTCCCGTCACGCTGTTGGCAGCAGGGACTGAGGGCTGTGTTCAACAGCAAGTGCACTCTGTACATGACCTTGGTCCAGGCCCCCCCGGGGACACACCAGGGAACCAATGCTCCCCAGGCCACAGTCCACGCTGATGCTGGAGCGTCTGGAACGACTGGTCTAGAACCTCCTGCCTTTCTCCCTCCCATGCGTTAGCCTGGCAGACAAATGGCAGGGAAGGGGATCCCGTGGGCTCCCTTTCCCCATCCTGCCTTAGAACTGTCGAGAGCCACTCTGCTTCTCACCGTAACTCCATGACAGTGCTAGGTAACTCACTGACCGCTACCAGAAAAAAAAAAAGAAAAAACATACTCTTTCTAATATACTCTTTAAATAAAAGTCTAAATAGACCTAACTGAAAGTAGCAAAAGTAACTAAAAGATAATTAAGCATAATCCCTCCAAACTGAAAACTAAAAATTATTCTAGATAATTTCAAAGTTTGGCTAAAAAAAGGCAAAGACGAATTCTTGAGTATCCTGCTTGAATACGGCTAAAGATAACCATCTGCTGATTGATTAAAACGGAGACCTGGTGGTACAATGATTAAGTGCTCAACTGCTAACCCAGAGGGTGCGGGTTCAAACCCACTCTGGCTGCCCCCATGCGCCTGCTCCCGTGAAGACTACAGCATGGGGGAGCCTGCAGGGCAGCGTTTGAGGCAGGCAGAAAATGTACCGGAAAGCCAGGTCTTATCCCTTTCCTCCTGGTCTCATTCTCCTTCATTTCTCAAATACAAAAAACTCACTGCCATAGAGTTGATCCCAACTGACAGAGAGCCCGCAGGACACAAAAGAACTGGCTCTGTGAGTTCCTGAGACGGGGTCCTTTTACAGGAGAAGCCTCCTCCTTCTGCCACAGAGCAACTAAGTGGCGGCTCAAACTGCTGCCCCGTGGTTACCAGCCCAACGTGTGGCCACTTCGCCACCAGCACACTGGCATGGAACAGCATTAACAATCAAAACCAAAGACACCTAACATTCATGTAACTTTTACCTGTTTCTGCCTGAAGTTTTTTTAAATGATAGCCACCTGGTCCAACAAACTTTGATCGTTTTGATAAGGGAACCTGAACAGTTTCTGAAACACAGCACAGACAAAAGCATAAATAATCCCGATGCATTTATGACTCTAAACATGTTCTCTAGATTGTTTCTTGTTTCAGCACAGACACAAGCGTAAATATTTCAATATGAAAAACAAACAAACAGGTTGGTAAAGTCTCTAAAATCCAATAGTAACCTTTCAAATGTAAAGCACTTATTGATACAATCTTCAAAATATTTTCACTTGGAATAAAACTTTTTTTTTAATATTTGAAAACCAGCAGTAGGTTTTCATGTGTTTATAGTTAAAGCATCACAAAATTAGTAATGCTTTTAAAAACCAGTTTTATGGATATACAAGTCTTGTACCATGTAACTCAGTGGTCTGAAAATGTATGAGCTGTGCGGTCATCCCACCATCGCTTTTAGACACAATCAGTGATACTGTTAACATATTACCTACAACTGGCCCATTTTCTTTTCTAGCTGCTCGAGGTTTGGAAATAGTTTTGTTCATGATCTGCAATATTTCCTTCTTCGCAACTAGAACAGATAAAAAACAATACATGTAACTACAGAAATTAAGTGACCTGCATTCTTAATTTTCATGGAACAAAATCTGAACCCTTTAGCCAAGGAGAGCTTTGCAAACACCAATGACCGTGACAACTGGCCTCACGTGCCCTGTACAAGCCTCACTTTGTTGAGATCAGCTTTTCACTGACCTCCCATTTTGTGGTTGGTTAGTATCCGTTAGCTTAAGACTTCTGACCTACGTTAAGGTACACAAAATCCCATGTCTACCGCGCGGGCTGCTTTACAGTAACCCTCATGGGCACAACAGTTCTCGACTAACAAACGAACGGAGAGCTGCACACATGGGTTTACCTGATGCTTGTTGAATGGCTTCCATGACAATTTTTATTGGTATTCCAGGTAATTTAATATCAGCCTAATTTGAAAAGGCAAAGGGAGATATAGATATTGGTGTATGACAGGATTTAAACATTGCAGAACAAAATAAAACCGGCTTAAACATACTTGCAGTGCAGTTATTCCCTTGTTAGTGCCAGCTATTTTGAAATCCATGTCGCCATTGTAATCTTCGATGCCCTTCAGGAATTTAAAAGATTATGACATAGTTTTGAGCAAAACCAAAATTACTCATAGTCACTATAAAGGAAAACCAAAAGTTATAGATACACACATCTCCCACATCAGCTGTTGCCTCCAGTTTGTGACGTTTTAAGTTACAACTCTCCCCAGAAACATTACTAGATCACAGTTCCTCTCAAGAAGGCATAATGACAAATTTACGATCATCGGAGAGTGAACCATGTTGCATATTTACAGCGTAATATTTAGTTTTTGTTAAGACCATAAAGAAACCAAGGTAAACATGCAGGGAGGACAGAATAAGGACCACTGTTCCTGGAGTAACACTAGCATTCTTATAACATATGTCTCATCTTCCACACGGAATCTTTGGTAATATGAATACACTTGCCAGAATATCTGTCAGCAGGCGGTAATCTTCTATTTCACTCGTCTCAGCATTGGTTTTGGTGACCAATCCCACCGCTACACCCGCAACAGCAGATGAAATTGGAACCCCTGTAATTAAGAACAACTCTGTATGTAATGCGTACATTCACCCGACGCACGCAGTCATCCTTTTGACCATCCTGGGCTCTGGAGTTAGAAAAGCCTGAGGAGATGATCTGACTACTTAATTACTTTTTTAATATGTATACATTAGGAAGTCCCCAAAAAAACCCAGGAAAAAGGTTTGCTGGACGGAGCTTTCATGGTAAGCGCTTTCTTGCTAGGTGAGCACCGCGTAACCAGCTCAGCATAGTTTATTCACCGTAATGTGGCCTCCTAACTTATGAGTAAGGCTGAACATTTTTGAGGTTCATACACCATCCGTCCACCACTCGTCTGCCAGCTTGCTGTACGATGGTAGCGTGCAGGCTGCTGTGCTACCGGGAGCCGGGGCTGGAAAGTCTGCTGTTAGACATCCCAGTCACGGCTCGGGAAAGAGATGCGGCAAACATAAATAAACCTGCTTCCCCCAGCTTACACTCACTCTAGAACAAAACTGTTATTTTAAAAACAGTTTTGTTAGCACTTCATCCACATGCCATACAATTCAATAAGTCAATCACACCAAGAAGAGCTGTACAACTGTCATCATACTCAATTCTAGAACATTTTCTTCTGCCTTGTAGTCAGGTTACTCACGTAATCATGATTTTTTAAAATTTGAATTGTGGCAAAATATACACAACAGAACATTCTCCAATTCCACAATGTCTACTTGTATAATTCAGTGTCACTGATTATACTCTTGGCATTGTACAACCATTATTGATATCCTTTTACCAAATTATTCTACCATCAATGACATAAATTAAATGCCCCCTAAGCAACAACTCCCTTCACCCATGTAACTATTGGTCAAATATAGTTTCTCTTCTTTTTTTTTCTCTCGTGGTTTTCTTGATATAGTTAGTATTCACATGTCATATTCGTCCATGGTTAGATCGTTTTAAAATGTGTTGTCTATACATAAACACAATCACTTCTAGTGCTCCCTCCCCACTCCTGCATTCATTCTTTGCTCCCCAAACCCCTCACCTTCTCTATCTCCCACCTCACCTCCATACTCCTGTTAAACCATCACATCAGCTATTACCTCTATGCGCCACAAACTGAGAACCACAACAGAAACAACAAACCAAACAAAATAAAATGGCAAGGATAAAATAACAACAATAAAAATGCAAATAATGAATAAGACCGCTATCAACAGTTAAAAAGCCTGGAAGAAATTTGTCATGGAACAAGCAAGAAATACTTAAGCCTAGAACAAATTCAGGTTGGGTCAAGAGGAAGGTCAACTGACGAAGTATCAAGTTCGATCCAGTGTAATCAAGTTTACAATGATTTCTCTCTGAGAGCAAAGATGCTCAAGTCCCTGCCTGTGGCCAGAGGGGCTCTGTCAGAGGCGAATCTGACGGGATGCTCTGCAGATGGGTTTGGGCTCCCACGTCCTCTGCAGCCTTCTACAGATTGCGTGTTCACACTGGATGAAGTTCTGTCCAAACCATAAGATATGATGAATGAATGCTGTTACAGACCCTTATAACCTCCCTTTATCTTCCAGCTCATCCTTTCCAGATCCGTCTGGCCTTTCAAGACAGAGAGTGAGATTGGTAAACTCCACGAGGACAGCTTTCTTTACTTGCATGTTCTGAGTGCGTGTGCCTGTAACATAGGTGGCCCGAGGTAACAGCTCTTGAATGACAGCCCATAAGAAACAGGAGTAGCACCAGGACTCTGACTCTGTAACCCTATGTGGGTCTTCTGAGGTTGTCTTTGTGGTAGACAGCCTCATCTTTCTTCTGTGGAGCAGCTGATGGGTTTGAACCTTAGACCTGGTAGTTGATACCCTGCATGACTTAAGGAAGGCATACTACAAATGCCTGGGTCTGAAACAGCAAAAGGGAGGACCAGCATGTTAGCTTAGCCAACAGTGCCACCAGGCTCCTTAGCATTTTACCAAACCCGCAAACACCAGGCGCAAGAAAAATACCTTTAAATGCTTTCGGTATTTTTTTGCTTTCACCTGTTCCGGGTGTTAGTCGCTGCAGAGAGCATATGTTGACTCATTCTCTCTCGGCATTCCTGGCTATGCGCCCTCCCCGCCCTCCGCCATCTTTCATACCTGTATTTTAAATGGATGAGCTTATTGGAGAATTTTCAGGGTGGCTTCTTCAGTTTTAGGCTTCTTACCTGTAGTTCACTAATGGTTGGTGACTGCTTGGTAGAGACTGGTTTGGAGGCCCTCCTAAGGTGCTGGCTCTCCCCTTTGCTGTTTCCAACCCCGGCATTACCCTGAAACACTCGTGGCCAAGTCTTCTGTAAGTTCAGCAGGCACTTGTGTGAGTAGACTTATTCAGCTCATGGTTCACATCAATTGGTTGCTTTCGCTTAGGGTTCTTAATACTGTTTACCAACAAAACCTCCCTGGTGATTGGAATCAAACCCAGAGCTCTTCATCTTTTGGAAGGTAAGGCAGTTCATCGGGTCGCTGAGGCAAGAAAATAATTTTCAAATGCGTATTGATTTTGGCAAAAAAGAATTCCAGCAGTAAGGGAATAGGTGACGCTCCACTTCACAACCATTTGTGATGCTGCTCAGGTGAGGTAATCTAGCCACTCCAAGCCTACTAAAATCCAACTTAAAAAATCTCATCTTTATACTTAACAAGTTCATATAAAGTGCTACCGAGTAGACTGGAGACATGATTCTTTTACCTGCATCCATCAGTGCCAAACTTCCACCACATGCGGACGCCATAGAGGATGATCCTGTAGGAAATAAATATTAACTTTAAAGGATACCGACTTGTTAAATGTAGAACATCGTTAATATTGAGTACTTAATATTTTTTTTCCTTTTGTATAAAAGCACGAGGCCCAAGCAAACCAAATACGGAGCTGAAGGGTCCAATACACTTGGCTACTTACATTTAAATGAATTAAACATTCTAGACTTCAGTTCCTCCACTGCACTAGCCCCAATGGCTACTGTGCTGCCCACAAAGGCAGAGCCTTTCTTTCCATCATCACAGGACGTTCTATTAAAAAGGGTTGTGATGAGATTTTGATTCTAAGAAACCTCTTAGAGGGACAAACACATCTCTCTTGTTAACCTAATTTGGCCCAGATCGCATTAGCCCATTCACATCCAGTTGAGAATGTACGGTTTTTGTTTACATGAGGAGCTTCTCGGGTGTTTCCTCTTTAAACCCTGTGGCTCTTTGGTCTTTCTGTATCTGTTGGACCTTTGAGAACATGTGCCCTTCCTGCTTCCGATGACTCTGTTTTGTCTTGATTCATGGGCCGACTTTGAGTTAAGTCAGATGCTTCCACCCCGCACCCCTGTGGTGGTGTCTCACTCCTCCGTTACAGGATAGGTACCTCCTTACGGACACCTCTCTGCAGTCCTTTCTTTCATAGGGACAGTCTTGCTCTGAGGTTCGTTTGTAAAAACAACCAACCTTAGGTTATATTAGTGATACCTGAAGAGAAATAACTTATATACTGCTTTTAAAACAACGTATTAATTCAGGCCAGAGAATGTAATATGCTTCGGATGGTAACACAGAATGGGTCTTTTACACCCTGGGTAAAAAGCCGTCGGTACCATTTGACTCGAGGACTTCCGAGGTGACTCTGACCGTGAACGGGAAATCCTTGGGGATGACAGGATACAGCGCTTTCTCCGCCAGGGCACCTGGGGTCAGAGAGACAGCCGTAAGCACACACGCCCTGCTGCCGCGATGGGAGCTGCACGTCAGGCGACACGTCTCCACTCACCGTGCCCGAGCTCTCTCCTATTCACACCAGTCACTTTGCCAGTCTCATTCGTTGCATAAGGAGGAAACTGAACAAAACAAACCACACAAAACTGAGCTAGAAAGATGTCCATGACGCTACACAATGGGACAAGCCCATTTTTGTTTAAAAAAATTATACACACTAACACCTATGCAAACAATGGTTGGTCATAAAAAGCGTACACCAAGATTGGCCAAAAATAGCCATTCGTGGTGTGTGGATGACTCAGAAGAAGGGAGGAGAGGGTTAAGACTTACATCGTACACCCCCAATGCCTGTGGTAGTCAGAACAAGTGTGTTTTCAGACAAAACGTGCATACTGAGAAAATGTAGATCTTTTCGAGAAGGCGTGCATCTTTTCTGTTCTTAGCAATGAAATTATTTAACATAGGAAAAAAATTATTTCAGCGAGAAGGTGTGACCAATACATTGTTAACAGGAATTATGATAAACATGATTCGGGCGCAACCGTTTGAAAATTGGAAGGTGCCCCATGAAGATCCACTATTCTGGTTTCTGAACCCCAAGACGATCACAGGAGAATTGGAAACAGCGCCAGTGTGCAGGCAGGAGGCTGGGCGCACAGAGGACCAGTGCTACACTGCACCTGAGTGTGCCCACGGCTGCACCCAGGCTGGGACTGCCGCGGGTCGGGTCTGCAGCCCTGGGGTGAAGCACACACAACACAGACTCTGAAATGGGCCGGCCGAAGGAGAGCAGCTAAGGATGCGTGTGAGACACGCTTGGAAGTGACCACTGCCCAAGTTCGTCATGAGAATGGTGGTGGTGGGATCCAGCAGAGGCACATGGGTATTCACTGTGGACTCCAAATGTGCCCTTTAATAAGAACATGAAGGACTACATTTGCCTTACCTCATAGTGCAGCATGAAATTTTTATCTTTTATTCCGCTGCAAAGGAAAAGCATACATAACAACATATCAGATACATGTAAACAAATTGATTTCAATAAACAAACAACCACAATCCATAGGGAATTTAAACAGCACAATTGGTTATTAATGGAGTTGGTTTAAAAGGAAAACCAGGGATATTAGAAAATGAGTGCCAGAGCTTTCTTTTAAAAATTAAATCATTTCCCTGGGGACTCTTACAACTCTTACAACATTCTGTACATCAATTGCATCAAGCATATTTGTACATATGTTGCCATCATCACTTTCTAAACATTTACTTCCTATTTGAGCCCTTGGTATCTGCTCCTTTTTTCCCCTTCCTCTCCCCAGAGTAGATTTTTAAAAAGCTTATGCATGAATTCTATATTGATTCAGAAGAAAAAAAATGCTTCAAATTCAAACACTTAAATATCTAGATTTGGATATCAAGACAGTAGATAGTCTTAATCATTCATAATCACTGAGGGGATCCTAAATATTGTACCACATTAATTAAGTCTCAGTTTTGATGAGAGACCAGTAACTAAAATGATATTGGTGAGGATAATCAGTAGATCTGATAGGCAAACATCTTTGGGGTTTGAAAAGAGAACAGCTGTGAATCTATCTAGAACAATGGGGAAAAATAAGGACGAGAAAAGATCTAATTCCTGGAAGCAGGACAACAGATTTACCCATAATGGGGGAAAGCAGAGACAGGGTACAGTGGCCATCAGAGCCCTGGGGTAGGAATGCTTATGGTGTTGGCTGCCAACGGCAGGCCTGGCAGTTCAAAAGCACCAGCTGCTCTGTGGGAGAAAGACAGGAGTTTCTACTCTGGTGACGATCTTGGAAACTCACCTGAGCAGTCCTACCCTGTCCTACGGTGTCACTATGAGTCAGATTCGATTGGAAGCCCGGTCTTTCTCCCTCAGAGATGAAGGAAAAAGGGGAGCTGAGAAAGCAGATACCCACACTTTATCCTGGCTCACAAGATAGAGAACAAATGCTTTTCATGGCTAGGGTAAGGTGACCTGATTTTAGCATTGGTAAAGCAGGACAAAAGCGGGACACCATTGATAAAACTCATATCCTGGCGAAATAGCCACATGGCAGCCAAAAACCGTATACCCTAGCTTGTCGTGCATTCTTTCCAAAACTCGGGACTTTTAAAAAATGCCACGGGATGCAGGAGAAATTATTAAAAATCGGGACTGTCCTGCCAAAAGCGGGACATCTGGTCACCTTAGGCTAGGGGGGGCACTGCATACGTTTTTTTTCGGGAAAGGGGTGACAGGCCGAATAGGTTTGGGAGCTTAAGGTGCAGCAGGAGGAGAGAAGTCCCCAGTCGGGGCACCATCTGCAGACGTGAGGAAGAAACCTGGAAGCGCACCGCCTTCAGATGAAAGGACCCGACGGACAGGCGTCGGCTTCTAAGGAAAGGAAACCAAGGCTGCGGAGAGAACGGCTTTGGAGAATCCCCTTCAGGGCTTTGCGCAGTGATCTGTCCCGCCCCAGTCATGATGTGGGGACCCCCCCCCCTCAACACAGTTTACAAGTTCGGGTCTGTTCCACGTTCACTGTGCTGTCCCTGACGGGCCGGGGTGGAATCAGCTCAGAGTCCGACTTAAAATCACCATCAATTAAACAGAAGGGTGCAGCACAGAGAGGAACATCGCTGAGTAATGTGGCACTGCGCAAACTCACATGACCTAGGGCGCCATATCATCTAAAACCGCAAACTTACTTTATGGCTGTTATAATTCTGTCAGATTTAAGACTGGATTCCAGTGAATCAAACGCAACAGTACACAGCACCTGAAAAGGAAGAGAAGAAAAAGGTCCTCAGACTTTTTACTGTACTTCTAATAAAGATGAAAACCGAAAGCATTGGAAGACCCCAAGTAGCTCCTCAAAAGCAGGGGATAAGCACCTCCTCTCCAAGTAAGGCCCAGCGAGCGCTCAGTCTACGGACAGGGACATTACGGGCACACCTTACTCTTCGACAGCATCAGCATCACACGGCGCACCTATGCCAGGTGGTGTGCGGGCACAGCTGGGGAGGGCCATCCAAAGAGAGCGGAACAGGGCGAAGCACATGAACTTGAATTTCCCCCAGCATCACTTCGCTTTTATTAGGAACTAAGAACAGGCTTCCCAACGTGTTGCCCTAAAACCGGGCCAGAAATAGGACACCTGTACAGTGACTCAGGAGCCCTGCTGGCGGGGCAGTGGGCTCTGATCCACTGCTAGCACCATGTCAGCGCTCTGAGCCCCAGCTCCTCCACCGGAGAAAGACGAGATCGCGTCCCAGAGTCACAGCCTGAGCAGCAGCAGGACAAGCCGCTCTGCCCTGCGAGGTCGCCCTCTGGAAGTGAGTTTGCTACAACAGAGATTCCAATGTGCCGAAGCCCCAGACGGGTCTTCAGGGTTCGGACTCCTTTATTGAAAGGAAAATGTTCCAGGCTTGTTAGAAAACAACGCAACTTTTCCACTTGTTTACAGAAAAGTTTCGTTTTTTCTTATAAAGAAGCTTGGAGCCAACTTCACCTCTGAAAGATTTAGCATGAATTATCCACTGACTTCTGCATAGTAAAATGTACTCTGCAATGCACACTGCCTAATTTGAACAAGGAAACTTAGAGCTTCAAAATATTTATAAGAATGCTATAAGAACGCTCTGACATCTTCAACACTCGAAATTGCCCTCACACTTTCCACATATGTGCTTCTCAGTTTATTTTTATTTCTTTTTATTTTCCACTCTTTTCGAGTTGTCATACTGGCCCAGGAAACACAAAAATATGGCAGAGAATTGAGTTCGGAAACACACTGATCAACTTTGAACATGACAGAGATGACCCCACAAATCAAGGAGCAAAAGCGGATTATTGGCACATGTTCCCGTGAACCTGGCTTGCTACGGGGGCTTTCACTCAGCCCAGGTAGAGGAAGGAACTCCAGGGTCACGAATGGCTTCCGTGGGACAGCGAAGCTTGCGAGGCTGTGGCCGGGAAGAGTAAGTGCACGATGCTTTGGGGTGAGGGCAGAAGGATTTCTTAAGCATCTCTCTAAACATACACACCACAGCAGAGAAAAAGGGATGGCAGGACTACATTGAAGTTAAGAGCTCAGCTGTACTCTGGACAGACAGCAGGCCATCCAAGACAAAGCTAAAAACGAAGGAAACTGCAAGTCTGGGTTCCTTCAAACAAAGAATGAATAATTAATCATTTAAGAAATTACCACCAAGTAGAAATTACCACCAAGACACACACAGTGAACGCCAAGGTTCACAATCTAACCAAGCGGGCTCAAGGCTGTGACAGGCAGGGGGCACAGAGGAGAGCTGCAGCAGGGCGGCACTGCGGTCCTCTAAGGGGCAGCACCTCTGCGGAGGCCGCTCCCCGGAGGGTGCCCCCCAGGGTGACAGGGAAAGGTGTTCGGCCAGGTCTCTAAGGGGAACAGCAACACCTGTGAAGTGCGCAGCCATCATCAGCTGTCTGAGACCCAGCGGGTGTGCTTTACTCAAAGGCAAGGCTCAGAAAGGGGACTGGAAACCGGAAGCACAGGGAGGAGCCCCCGGGGTCAGGGGCTCCACCGAGGGGATCCCAATGAATGAGATGAAGCAAAACGGGCGTCAATCGTTAGATGTGAAACTAACGATGTGCTCTGTCACCTTTCAACCAACACACAGTGAAAATTTTAATTAAAGAGGGAAATAGAAATTCTCTCTCCATTTTGTATCCATCTGATTGGCAAAATTGGCAAGAGCAGCAGCAATGAGTGAATAAGCCCATACGGAACAAAGGCCGTGCGTGAAGGGGAAGCTCGAGAGGGGGCCTGTGCCAGGGAAGGAGACTGGAGGGAGACATAGACCACAGGGGCAACAGCGTCCTTTGCAAAGACCAAACAAACGTGGCGGCACACTGAGAGGGTGGGCGATTCAATTTTGCGTGGTTGAGATTAAAAAGAAAGTTATACAAAATGCCAGATCATGCTCCGAAATGCAAACTAATCTACACTGACAAAGGCAGGTCAGGGGTTGCCTGGGGTTGAGAGAGAGAAGCCAGAGGGAGGCATTTCAAGTGGGAGCGTGAGATGTTCGCGACTGTGGCTCTAAGTCTCCATCCAGTATGTGGTTATCAAGCACATACTTCAAAGAGATGCAGAGAGCTACACCGCAACTCTACCTCAATAAAGGAGCTAAAAGCATTTGTCCGATGTCTAGGTCGCAAGATATATCATGAAATTCTGCTTTACAACTCATTAGAGCATTCTAAATCGGTAAATTGTAGTTTTTCTTACGTAATTACCTGTGTTTGGCCCCTCTGAAATAATGCTGATCCATGAAGAGTTTTAAACACATCTACCTCACAACTTATATTCCTCAGTGTAGTCAAATCACGACCATCACACCTACAGGAAGAGGAAATAAAGTATATGAAGCAGTGCTGGAAATCGGGGGAAAAAAACATACAAACAAAAAGCACAACCTGTCTCTTTATTGCCACCAGGAAGTTCTCAACTCCAACTGGTAGCAGAAGCACTGGTGGGTCTTAAAACACTAGATGCCTGAGCCCGACCCTATCAACCAGTGAAGGAGACGCTCAGGGCTTAGGACGCAGGCACCTGCAGTGAGTGAATACAACGCACAGCTGAGGCTGTGAACCGCTATGCTGCACACACTGGACACACAGTCCGGTGCATCCACATTGTCTGCACATGCCCTGTCACAGGTGCCGATCTGAGAAGCCAGTATGACCACCCTTCACTGTTCACTTGTTAAGCAACAACAGCCCAAACGGCAAGCTTCGTGCTTTAGAACTTTGGAACTTGGACTGAAATGCAACTTGCAGCGAAAGCACATACCTTCAACCCGTCAGAAAAGTGTACATTTACCTTTTGTATTCGTTCAAAATAATATTCCTGAAGACCTCCTTTGAAACCACATTGAAGGACTCTATGATGTCATATGCATCAGCCTCTGGGAATTTTTCTATAGAAAGAAGACAAAGCAAAACAAAGGTTTTTCTCAGTTTGGAAAACAGGAGCTCTCTTACGTTTACAGCATCCAACTAATGAGAATAAACTAAGGGAACAGGCCCTGAGCATTGTCTTCAGGCACACAGTCGGGATGAGCCGGACGTAGGCACCGTTGGCATCAGTACCGGAATACACGGCTCCTGGGCACACGCTTGCTTTGACAGGAGCTCCTACTGGTACCCACGGCAGAGCCGGGCAGCTGCACTGGGAAAGGCCTGCCAGTTTTAAGAGGACTCACCCTTGCTCTTCTGTCTTAGGAACGTTCATCTTTGCCTGTAAACATTTTTATTTTAAAATAATATCGCAATGACTATTTGCCGAAACTTTACACAGCAAACTAGGTTTCCACTTGACACTCTCCACACAAACTGTCAGGTGAGGTGCCATAGCTGTGTTCTTCACACTGTGTCAACAGTCTTAGCTTTTGTTTGCTTCCTTTGGGCTCCCTGTTCAGCACCCCAGTGCCCTTGTTCCTTCATCATTTCATTTCACTCTGCGCATTTTGCTTTGAGGAACTGACTTTTGGGTCTTATACTGTTTATACAGACATAGAAACACACACATTTTTAAAATAAGAACTTGAGTTCTCCATATTTTTCTCCCATTCAATCTGGGACTAACTGTTGTGACCCCAGCGGAGTGGCCCATGCTAGTATCCCGGCAGTACCGACTCCTCCTGCTCTCCGGGTGGATGAGGCTGTGTCTCAGGCGGACGCCCCTTTCTCTGCACTTTACCGCCCACTGCTTGTTCCTGGAGAGCAGAGCCCAGCTGTGTCTCGGGTGGCCGCGCACAAGCTTGCAGGACTCCAGGTGCTACTCACTTTAGTATAACGCAGAAGATGTTTGCGAACTATTACTGAAACTAAACCGAGTCTTCAAACAGAGACCACCAGGGTTGGAAGGTATTTGGTTATCTGAGGAGTATCAATATGTTTCAGTACATTTATGTGCTTGCCCACTCATATTTGTAGCTACACATACCTATACTGTTGTTACAAACAAAAGGAAAGAAGACAAAAATCCAAGGAGTCCTGTTGCCGCTGTCAGGTAAGCACTACTGCGAACCATGAGGCTGTCGGCTGAAATCTATCGGCAGTCAACGGGACAGATACTGCTATCTGCTCTGGTGAAGGTTTACAGCCTGTCAACTTTATACTGGGGGGTGGGGCAGGGCTGAGGAGGAATTGGCCCGGTGGCAGTGGCTTTGTTTTTAAAAGTTTAACGTACATACTCGGTGTATAAGCTGAGTTTTTCAGCACATTTTTAATGCAGTGTTTGTGGCAATTGGCTACCCTGGGTGATATTCGGGTTGGCTTATATTCGAGTATATACGGCATGTTGTTAAAGGAGCCCTAGTGGCACCGCAGATCAGGCCACTAGGTACTAGTGGTACTAAGGTACTAACCACAGGCTGGGGATTGAGGCCCACTGGCCAGGCTGGGGGAAAGATACGGCTGCCTGCTCCAGTAAGAGTGAGCCTCAGAAACCCTGCCAGGAGCCGGAGATCTTGGTAGGTGCTGCTGACTCATCTACGTACAACGGAAGGAAACACTGTCAGGTCCTGCAACACCCTTGCAAGTGACATTATGTCTGAGTCCTTGGTTAAAGCCACCTTGTCACTCCATCTCCGTGAGGTGCTCCTCTTTACTCTGACACTCTCTTTTACCACGCATGATGTCCTTTTCCAGGGACTGGGCCCTCCTGATAACTTATCCAAGTGAGACGAAGCCTCACCCACCCTCACGTCTAAGGAGCATCTGGCTACAGTTCTTCCAGACAGATCAGCTCTTTGGCAGTCTGTATAATAATCAATACTCTTCACTGTAATTCGAAGGCACCGATTCTCCATCTTTCCTTGTGCGCTGTATGTGTACCTACAATTACTTCTGTTACCTGTGTATGCACCTGTCCCTACCGATATACCAATTTGTCTATATGTAATCCACACCATGTTTTCACCGTGGCTGTGCTGTTGTGACAATACTCAGTAATTTAGTTCCCACCCCCTCTTTAATTAGTCTACCTCCCTAATTTTCCTAATTGTTGTATCAGTGTTTTGCTACTTTCTTGTGATGAGACTTTTTGCTGTGTTTTTTTTTTGGAATGCTTCTTTATGGTGGTTACCATGTTTCATCATACAACTTACAACCGGAACAATATTTAACATATGAACGACAGCTGACATACAACTGTACCATAAGGAGTCTAGTTCAGTATGCCCCTTCTCCTCCCGTTTCTGGCGGCATGTCTGTATTCCCATCTTTGTTGTCAGGAGCCACCGAGTCAACGCGGACCCTGCACCATCCTCACAGGGTTCCTGAGCTTGAGCCCAGAGATGCAGGCACGGTGCCGACCCATCCAATGGAGGGCTTTCCTGTCTTAGGCTGCCCCGCCACTTCCCAAGCATTCCTTCTGCAGACCAGGCTCGCCTGACAATATGACCAAAGCATGTAAGACAAAGGCCTGCCATCCTCGCCTCGAAGGAGCACTCTGGACTTACTTCCTCTAAGACACATCGGTTTGTCCGTTCAGCACTCCGTGGTCCTTTCAAGATTCTTCCCCAGCACCACAATTCACAGGCATGTCTGCTTCTGTCTTCCGTATTTCTCAAGCACACGATGCTGCAGAGGCCAGGGCCTGGGTCAGGTGCACTTTAGCCCTCAAAGTCACCTTCTTGCTCTTCAGTGCTCTAGAGGTCTGTACACAGGTTTACCTAATGCAATACGGCTTCTTATCTCTTGACTGTTGCTTCCATGAACATTACTTAGAGTTCCAAGCAAGACAAAATCCTGCACAACTTCAACCATTTCTCCATTTATCACGATGTTACCTATTTTGTCCAGTTATGAGGATTTTGGTCTTTCCTTACACTGAGTTGAAATCCATACTGAAAGCTACTATCCTTGATTTTCACTAGCAAGTGCTTCAAGTCCTCCTCACTTCCAGCAAGCAGGGTGGTACCTCCTGCATACTGCAGGGGGCTACTAGGCCTTCCTCCGATCTTGATGCCATGGTCTGCACCACATACTCCAGCTTCTCTGAGGAATTCTCAGCACACAGATGGAACAAACATGGTGAGAGGCTACAACTTCGACACACGTACTTTGCCTGATTCTAAACCATGCAGTATTCCTTGTTTGGGTCGCACCACTGCCTTTTGATTTATGTACAAGTTCCTCGTGAACAAAATGAAGTATTCCGGATTCCCCATTCTTCTCAAGGCAATTCAGTTTATTATGGTGCACATAGCAAAATGCTTTTGCATAGTCAATGAAACACACGTCAACATCTTTCTGGTATTCTCTGACGTCAGCAATAATATTCTTTGTTACATGTCCTCTTCTGAATCCAGCCTTGACTTCTGGCA